GTCTTCATTCACACCTGGCTTCACACAGCACTGGCTCAGAAACAGAACAGAAAACCCTGTTTGCTCCACGACTGTGGACGGTCCACATGAAGTTGACAGCTCATAAACTAAACCAGGCCGATGACACCTGGTACGTTACAGTGTTGTTTTTTTACAGTCAGAGCTGAGCTTTCATGTTTGATGGTAAATGTTTGTCTAAAAGAGAGAGTGAACGACGGAAAATGGTTTAAGAACCAGACACGAAGTCAGAGGTTTTTACTGCTGCTGTATGTTCAGGGTCAGGTCGCAGAGAAGATGCTGGTTTACGGCTCAGGAATGGTATGCTACCACACTTTCACTCTTCCTTTTGACAAGAAAAACCCTTTTCCTCGGGAGGTTTTGCAGGTTTTCTTTTTTTGTTTTTATAAACAGCTGTACAGTGTGGTGTAGATGACGATGATGGTGATGGAGGCGAAATCCATGATCTTTATCTTGGTAATAACAGTGAGAGGAGGCTTCCTGTTCTTGGGTTTTGATGTGGTTGAGACTGGCAGGTAAACCATTACACCTGGGCAGCTTTACGGGAGCAAGGGAGGAAGAGGGGAGTGTCGGAAAAAGTGCAGACTGATACGTTTTGTCACAGAGTGAGAAGCTAACAGCTGGAGGAGGAGGATTCGTCAGCGTCATCCTGTCACTTCCTTCCACAGCTGGAGGAATAGCCGGGTGGTGACTGTCAGTTTGACATTATTATTGAAGGGCTGAGTGTTTTATCTAATTTTTGTCTACCTTTTTGTCTACCTAATTCTACATGCTAACTTCACCCATAGCCTTCACTCCTAGTCCTAATGTCACGTGGACAGATTTAATTTATCGCTTACAAATCTCTGCGTATAATTGTTGGACAAAACCTGTCTGTAATAAATCTGTCATCGTTTTTTTTTTCCAGTTCGTCATCCTCGTTTCAAAGCCTTGACACATTTTAGCATTCAAGACAAAACAAACGGGAGCTGATTGTTTCGCAAACAATTAAAGTGTGTTTGTTTTGAAACGCGACCCTCATGAGGTCACGGTGTGGTCTAGTTGAAAGACTTCAGACACTGATGAATGAGGTCAGCCTGACTGTCTTCACGATAACAGTGACGATCGGCTTTTTTTGTTTCGTTGAATTGAAAATTAAAAAAACAAAACTAAATGTATTTTTAAAATCTTTATTCGAGATGATTCAAGAGAAATGCATAGAGTATTCTCACACTGATGCTCATGTTTAAAGCAAAGAGCAGTTTGTACAGATGATATTTAGAAGGTGGAGGACGCAGCAAGTTATATGAAGCTGTCCTGTAGGGGCCGCTGTTAATGATATTTAGAAGGTAGAGGACGCAGCAAGTTATACGAAGCTGTCCTGTAGGGGCCGCTGTTAACATAAAACTAATTTTTGCATCGACTAGATCTGTTGTATTGGCAGGATCACAAGGTTGTACTAAACTCTAAAACCTAGTTTATGTTCAGCGCTAACTTTGCACACAGAGGCTTTCGTCCGACCACGTTTGTTATTCTGAGAAACTGTCAGCACAGAAGTGAAGGATCATCTGATTTTAAAATGATTATTGCTTTAAATTCACCTAAATATTCAAAACAGCAAAATGTTGTATTTGAGAGTTTGAACTTAGAATGATTGGTCCCATCCTCCTAGGCAACGGACAAAGTTTCTACTTCTGCATGTATCAGAAAACAAGAAAGAACGATTGAAAAAGAACGGCGACAGAGGGCAAAATATGGGCGTGGTTTTACATCCAGTGTTTGGAAAATGAAATACTCTCTTTTGTTTATCTGCATTACTAGGTAAAGTGACGAAATGTTTTAAAGAAGCAAATGCTTACAATTCTTTAGGCTGCTGTTTCTGTCACAACAGAGGTGACCCTCGACGGCAAACGCAAAACCCTCTGAGATGTGAGCTTATCATCGGCTCTTCAGGGCAGCGTTAAAGAATTCCTCAGGTCTCCGACGACTCCAGGCCCCGGTTGTTTCTGGAGCACATGATGATTAGACTGAGAGGAACTGTGTTACTACTCGTGTGAGAAGGATCTCATCAACGACCCGAAGACTGAGCAGGAGGCACCAGGCGGAAATGGGGGGAAACAAGAGACAAGTGTGTTTCATGCAGCAGTCAGAACAAACGTAACGTGAATTTGGGGTGAATGTAATAGCTGAGGTGACATGAAAGACGGAGGGAACATCTGCTTTTTACACACAGACCTATAATCAGGATGGATGGGTTTTTTTTTTCTCCTCTGAACTCATCAGAACTGAACTGATTGTTAGAATGACTTTACTTTCTGTCTCGATCAGCAGACGCGTTTGTCATCACATTTCTTTGAACAGGTGTGAGTCTTGGGTCAAACTGTAATAACTGAACTGAGAAGTTAGTCTTGTTTTGGAAATGATTTGGATTTTTGACTTTTTTTTCTCTCTGTCACATATACTTTATACATACCAGATTACAATAGTTTTTGTGGTCGGCTCAACATGTAAGATGATACAGAAACACAACAGAGAAACACAGAACCAAGGCCTGAAAGGTCTTCACTCTGGATGATGAAGAGGAACTTCCCAAAAGATGAAGTTTGATTCCATATCTGCAAAAGACAAGAGTTGATGTGGAGATAAATGAAACCAAGAATTAATTATTAATTATTTTCATTTAATTTAAATTCAATTAAGTTCACACAATAATGACTTCTGAAGCATCGTCACTAGCGTTGTGGACAAGATCGGCAGATTGGCGAAAAGTTAATATCCGACCTCTCCTATGATTTTAAACACAGGGTCATTGAACTACGAACGACCCTATGGTCAGGGTTTGCGCTGTTGTTTGTGCTACGTATGCTAATATGCTACTAATTCAGAATATTTATTCATGGCGTTATTTGATTTATTTGCCACCGATCACTTCTTCCTTCTTTACCTGTTGTTTCTTACTTACGTTTACAGGAGTGGTGAATTTTTTTTTATTTTTATAATCATATCCAAACCTGTGATCAAACCGCGGTTCACACTGTTGCTGTTGTTCTCATTTGTTTCCTTCAACGATTCCACTGAGGTCTGGTTGGAAATGCTGCCGTCGTCATCAATGTTCTCCTCTACGCTCTGCCCCACAGGTGCTGGAGAATTTGTGGGCTTGTTCTCTGACTCCTCCGGAGAAGGAGCTGGAGCCGGAGCCGGAGCTGCAGACTCAGCGGAGAATTTGTGGGCTTGTTCTCTGATTCCTCCGCAGAAGGAGCCGGAGCCGGAGCCGGAGCTGCAGACTCAGCGCTGGGTTCAACAACAGGTTTGTCAGCCTCAGCTGTGGAGGACAAGAAAGCTCTGTTGGTGGTTTCTGGAGACCAAGTCAATTTGTTATTCTGTGTCTGTTGAACCGTCAAACCGAGCAATTTAGCAATTCACGTTGATCAATTGGAACAAAATGAGATCTCAGTTTTTAACAGCGAGTCCATCCGTCAACATAAATCCATCCTAACATCTGACTCTGTCATCGTAACTGTCTGGGACACTGCTGGTTGGTCGTTACGGCCTCCGTGTTCTGTGTTCAGCTGCCAGGTAATAACAGTGTTTTCACTCATGTAGCCTGCAGTGGTTTTGCCCCGTCTGACGTTCGGGGGGAGGAGAGGAGGAAGGTGGGATTTCTCCTGGACTTTGAGGAGGCCACCATGTTGGTAATGAGGCAGCTGATTACTGACCGCTTTCTAATGAGCTACAGCCATGCAGCTGTTGGGAACTGTGGGAAAGTAGGGCGGCCCCATCATTATCTGACCCAGGGTTAGGTGGAGGGAAAGCAGAGATGAAGGGGAGAGGAAGGTGGCAGTTGTTCCAGGCATAATTCTGCCATGACTAAGATGGCTCCTCGGGCATCATTCCAACCTTCACAAAGTCATCACATCTGGTTTACGGCGGACGACGGCTCCCTGTTACAGGTGGACCGTTGACCTTGGTGTCAGCCTGTCTCTGGGTTTTGTAGGGAAGATTTCACTTTTCAGTGTTTGTTAAACCTCCTGTTATTACTTTATTACAGCACAATTGTGACAGTTTTCACGGCTTGAATTTAGGTTTCAAGATTAGTGTTTTGATCCCGCTTCATTAGGAAGTGAGGTAGTTTGGTACAGAGCAACATAACGGGATTGGACTTTGATAATAAATGAATTAATATTTTGATAATAAATAAATAAATAAAAAATATATGTATATATATATATACATATATATGTATATATATACATATATATATACATATATATATACACTGATATATACTGATTTCCACTCAGTTTCATTATCTCTTTCCCATGAGAAGAAGACGACCAAAGTGGTCATTGGTGATTTCCATTAAGACAAAGTGTGGCCCGAGGCCCTGGACCGGCTCACACATGCCTGCACCAATTACCTTTCTATAAAGCAAGACTACGGAGTGGAAGAAAAAAACCCAACGTGCACACTTTAAAAAAAAAAAAAAAAAAAAAACTCTCCAAAAAGTTTGTAGTTTGTCACAAAACATAAAAAAAAATCCTCTTAGACCAGCTTGTCAATGACAGTTAGATCTCCCAGTGGGTACGTGACTAAAAAGAGAAAGAACCTCTGCTTTAAAGTACGGTGCATTTATTTCCATCTTGTGGTCATTTGCGGTACTGCAATTAGTTCAACTTCTACTTGAATTCCGTTCAACCTCTTTCTTCTTTTAAATTCTGTCGATACGTTTCGATTTCAAAATTTGAGCATGAGTCACTGACCCTTCTTTACACCTGCTCTCCTTTTCTGAAAGCCTAAAATATCATCATTTTTTGCATGACTTTTTAAACATGAAGCGTGAAAAAAGGTTTTCACGCTTTCATGGTTTTGTTTTTTTTAACTCTGTTTAAAGGAATCAAATCTCTGTGGACAGTGTTTAACTGGTTGCACTATTTCCTTTGACGCAGTTGCAATTTGAGAAAAGAGGAAGGGCTTTTTTTTTTTACACTTAGCTCATGTCACGTCTTTACATTCACACCTAAAAGCTTCAGTGCATTTTTTCTTTACGCTACATGATTCATGTAATAACCCAGTGCACATTCTTACTTTTCTGTTCCTCTTGTACTTCGGGTTTCTCCTTCTCTTCTTTTGGCTCATTTGAGTCTGGTTCTTTATCGTCAGCAGTGTGCAGACCTGAAAAGTGTACAGACGTTTGTTTTAGCTTCACACATAGTGGGTAATGGGATGACAAATCTTTCTGGTTTGTTCAACAGACCATTCTGGCCGACGAAAACTGGAGGCATCTCAGTTTCAACGGTGCTGAGAGGGATGTTAGGGTCGTCCTGTCTGGACGTCAGGTCGATAGAGTAGGTCTGAAGGACAAGGACATTCAGTCAAATCAACAATACCAGGCATTTCAGAACACCCCCGAGGAACTAAGGAGCTAGAAAAGAGTTTAAACTTTGACCTGAGTGATTTATGAATTCTCTCAGGTCATAATAACAGACCATAAAAACAGGATGAATAAGGAAATAAAAGAAAGACATAGTTATGATTTCAGAAGGTTTTATTAAAATATCTTTGTCAAAAGCTGCTTAATTTTCTATAATTTTTGAACCCTCAACAATGGACAAAAATCTTTAACCAAACCTGAAGAAGAACCATTCATGGAAATGTGACGTTAACGTAGCGACCTGGAGTCAGGACTTAAACCTAAACTTGTCTGTTGTTCTAGAATCAACAAAACTCTTTTACTTATCTTTAGAAGTTTTGCTGTTCATCGTTACACGGCACTTCCTCTTTTCATGCTAGGCTAGGCTAACAGTCTGCTGGCTGTAGCTACTGATGGCGACCAACCGCTGTAGTTATTAAATTCCAAAGTGACTGTTAATCAAAAACGGTACTCACTCTTTCTTTCCTTCGTATTAATAAACAAGCGGCTGCAGAAACTATAGCCAGAACGATGATGATCAGGAGGATGACTACGCCTAAGGGAGCACAGAAACAAAACATGTGTCTGTGTTATTACACATACGACAAGAACAGCACGGAGGTTCATCTACCCAGTGTCTACATTATTTGGTTGTGTTAAGAGTGTCCACCACATTTGACTCACCTGTCATGTCTGCTGAAGTGTTTGGCGCAGGAGTAATTTCTGCAGTGAACAAAAAATGTTAAATTATTATTCTGTACACATTTTAAATGCCCAGAAAAAAAGTTGTAATTAAGCCAAAACTGTTAACAAGACAATGTGTTTCACTCAGTCAGAACTGGAGCCATACGTACGTACATGAGTCAGTAGTTGAGCCACCTACATAATATGGAGTTAGACTGTCAGAGATTAGACATAAATACAGTAGAGATCTCAACCATCAACTCACTTTGGGAAGCCGTACTTTTAGGAACTTTTGGATTCGGTGCTGTCGCAACCCTGTTGGGTTTCAGGGAGCCTTTGCTACTGGTGGTGACATCACCTTAGTCAGAGAATGGTACCAGGTCACAGAACAGAATCAAAAAGGAATGACAAAGGCAGTAACAGTCAGATCAGGGTTCTGTTCTCACGCTTCTGTCCAGTTGTCAGGGGTTTGACGCTGGTGCTGCTGGAGTGCTTCCATTCACTGGTTGAATTGGGATCAGCGGTGGTGCCGGTGCTGTTGCCGATCGTGTTGACATGGTCCGGTGCAATGGTCAATATATCGGTGTCATTGCTGTGGAATAAGTTGTTTATGTCCGGTGTAACTATCAAGCTCTCTGCGCCTGTTGTCATGTCATCTGCTGCGGCAGAAGTCATTAATACCCCTGCAGTAAAAGATAGAAGAAAGAAAAAAAAAACCAAAACATTTCATCATAACTAAGAAGAACAGAAGACTAGTGTCATTTAGTTCCTGTTAATCTGAAATATCTATGAAACACCTTAAAGTCCAGATGATTGCGTAGTTTTTTGGTGCAACAAGAGAGAAGAATTATTTGAAATCGAGCAGCATAGAAAGGCCCGAAATTGTGACGAAATATTTCAAGTTACAATTTTTTGTTTATTTAACAACATAATCAAACAGTTATTGAGTTTTTACACCTTTCTAGAAAATTCCATTCCCTTTGTAAATTTGTTTTTATCACATTACACAAAAGATTGAGGATCTGTAAATGTTATATATAGCACTACATCAAAATGAGAATTTTTTTCATACCTCACTCTTATTGCTTAATACAGTATATAATTCAAAGATCCATGAAATGACCACCTCGTTCAGAATCAGAATAAAAATATTTTGAACTAGCAAAATGTAAGGGTTTCACTTTTTTTTTAACAGACAATTTTTAAATGACATTTACAGCAAATACATTCTGTTTAATCAATACAATGACAGTATAAGAAGAACTTACCCAGGGTGAAGCAGAAACAACCAATCATTGTCATTTTAGTCTGTTTTTCCAGCAGTAGAGATCCGTTCGTAGAGTTCGGTTATATTTTTTTCAGAATTTTGTGTTAAATGAAACAGCGACAGTGACACAGCAGTGATGCCAAAAATCAAGAGAGTGTAACATAAAAAGAGGATCAACGCCCGTTACCGCAGCAGGATGTCCGATGTTGCTTAAATAGTATGAGAGGAAATAAACTGCTGGTGAGTTTTCACAACAGAGCTTTGAGGTTCTAACGAAGCACGTAGCTGAAAAACTAGATTTTAAAAAAAGATAAATGAGATATTTGAAGAAAAAAAATCCCTAAAACATATTATGTTTTACTTAGACTCATCTGTATATACTGTAGGTACTACTACAGTATATTCCTAGTATATATGTCTATATTAAAGTATTCATGTATGTTTATACCTTTTATGGTTTAGAGGCGGTTCTTGCTCAGTTTAAAGTAGATTTTTTTTTGTCTGTGACAGGATTCAACACTTGACAGACTAATTGGCCACTACTGTGTCACTGTTTCCTTTTCCTCACTAGATGTCGCTCTAACTACAAGGAAAGATGCCAGACATCAGGCTGGTGTGTATGACATATTCCTATTTGTATTAGCAATTTCAACTTCAAATGATTTTTTTTTCATGACAACTGAACCTCATTTCTGAGTTTGGAAACACATAAAAGAAAAACACATAAATAAAAAATGAAAATTTCATGTCATTTGGCTGCAGGACAGAGGTAATTGGACAGACATATATCTATGTAATATATAATAAAATATATGGGTGAAAATAGGGTCATGAGTTGGATTTCAACTGAGGACCTGCTCACAGCCCAGGGAGACCAGAACCCTGAAGAAGAACATTGTCCTG